TTGTACATGAAGAAAATGTTTAGGAGGTGTCATCAGGCAACTTCCAATGATCCTGAACTAACACTGAAACATTTCTGGAAGACACAATTCAACATCCTGGAGGCTGTAAAATTGATTGTGTCATCATGGCAAGAAGTCTCCACTAGATACCTCAATCCTTCATGGAAAGCACTGTGGCCATCAGTAGTCCATTATTTTGAGGGATTTGAGGAAGAAACAGAGTTGGACCAGGAAATTGTGTCCATTGGTCAGTCATTGGGCCTTGAAGTGGAGGAGGAGGATGTGGAAGAGTTTGTGATGTCTCATGAGGAGGAACTTACTCCTGATGACTTAAAGCAACTGGATGAGATGTTACAGGTAGAGGCTGACAGTGGTGAGGAGGAAATTGAAAGTGATGACCATATGTTAGCTAAACAGTTGAAAGGTGTGATTTACTATTGGGAGAAGTTCAGGGAACTGGCTTCAAAGCACTCAGATGTGGAAAAACTGAACTAACTTTGTGTCATGTTGAGGACTCAGTGGTCTCCTTCTTTAAACATAAGTTAATGGTGAGGAGGAGAGATGCCCCACAGACCACAATTGACACTTTCTTCAGTAAAAGGCAGAGTGAACAAGATGCTATCCCTCAGCCTTCCACTTCAAGAAGGAGAGAGGATGTTCATGGTGGAGAATCTGTCAGTCCAGAGGTTCCTGACATTTTCATGGAAGGTGATTCACCTTCCAAGAAGCAGTAAAATGCTTCTCCTCCACCTCCACTTCCTTCTCTTCTCCCTTCTCCTCCTCCATCTCCCACTTCAAATTCACATCATCATCATCATCATCATCATCATCATCATCCAGGAGCCTTCTACATACACACCTCAAAGTAAGTGAACTTTTCTACCTATTTTGTTGAATTTAGGCAATTTTCAGTGAGCTGGAACCAATTACCCCAAAACCCATTGAAACAATGGTTTCGGTTAACGAGATTTTCGGTTAACGAGCAACCTGCTGGAACGGATTGTGCTCGTTAACCGAGGGACCACTGTACTCCTCGAGTTACGACCGACTCGACTTACGACCACCCAGGCATACGACCGCCTCAGTCGTACCAAAATTATGTCAAATTACGTATTTTCGACTCCCGACATTAGTGATTGCGGTGTGTACTGACAAAATTTTTGTTTGTAATTCACTTTAAAATGGCTGGCAAGCTTAAAAGTGAGAGTTTTGTGGTTCTGAGAAGAAAAAGACACTCATTTTAGATTTTCTATGCATATTATTTAAGCATTTTCGACTTATGACCTGGATTTGGGTCCCTAACCCTGTCGTAAGTCGAGGAGGAGCTGTATGTGTGTGTGTAGATACACACACACAAAAGACATACAAAAATAATAATAGGAAAATCCTCACAAATAATCAGAATTTTTTTTTATTATAAATGTGATTCTACCCTCAATTCCGTACTCTATTAATAATGTAATAAAGGACAGACTTGAGGGTAGACTGTTACATTTTTAATAAATTTGTTTCTGATTATTTGTAGGAGGACTTTCCAATTACTATATTAATTATTTGTATGTGTTTTGCATGTGTGTGTGTGTGTGTGTGTGTACACACACACACATTTTTACAATACAGGTAAAGGAAATTACTGTCTTTAGAACAAATGGCTTCCTGTACCATCCGCGAAAATGCCGGCAACTTTAAAACTACCCATAGACATTCTTAGGTACATCCAGGGTGTCATCCGCAAATAATAGAGGACCACAAAATAAAAATCCACGAACTTGGGGGCCTTCTGTATATACTGTATGTAGTTATTTTTCGTCACTTCTAATAAACATGAGCGAAAATAGTACATACCAATACGTTCACAACCTCCTAGCTCAAAGTTGTCTGAGCCTGTGGCTCTTCAAAAAGACAATCTCTGGTTACTGCACAAAAGAAAGTTGTACGGATAATGACCTACGGTACTTGAAAAACAGATCACATAAACGAAAAATTTGCTGTATTGAAAATTTTAAAATTCGAAGATACAGTATTAACACCTACTGCTGTGCCCTCTTTGTTTACAAATATATCAATCACTTGCTTGACAATAATTATTTCCAGTTCCGGAATAATCAGAGATGCAACTGAAGGCACCCAGAGCTACTAAGACCACCCCCATGCGCTCCTCTCAGTCCCAGACCTCCATAAAATATCACGGTGTGAAGGTGTTGAACAACTTACCCCCACCCATCCGAGCAAAGACTACGCTCCCTTCCTTTAAATCATCTCTTAAAAAAGTATCTATTGTCTAAGTATTAATATTTCTTGTAACACCTACTACAGTACTGTATAGTTACAGTACCTGCTTCTATTGTACCATCAAAACCGTTTTATCGGAAATTATCATGTAAATAGATAAGTAATTACCATTGCAGTAAACACAATTGCCAACTAGACATAATCCTGACAGCTCTGTCCTCTTGTTCAACCTTATTACTGTATAACCCAGGTTGTACTGCTTCCCCATTATACAGTCAACTCTCACTTTACGCGGTTAATATAACCCACAGGGTACCGTGGAAAGTGAGAAACGCGTAAAGTGAACAACATAACATAAGGGATTAATTGAAATAGAGACCGGGCCGACCCCCAAACTCCACTTTTTGACGACACACAACTATGTTGTAGTAAAAATATTATCTTAACTTTATGATGGTATGCACACACAATTAATAATTAAGAGAAATATCAATAATATTAGGTTTTTTAACACTTACATTAGTAGAAAAGATGGCTGGGCACACGGGGATGGGTGGTTGGTTCCAAGGCAGAGGGCAGATTATTGGCCCTCACCTGTATCACTTGTATCAATTGTATCACTATCCACCACAGAGGCTTGCAGGGCCTCTTTCTCAAACCCCTCAAATTCCATATAAGTCCATATCCTCACTATAATTATCACTATCACTGACTTGGGCCGGCTGTGGTGGGTGGCGGGTGAAGAACTGGTAATGTTTTGATGACTGGGCGACCTTGTGCGCACCATGCTCGCGCCGCTTACACAACATGGCGGATGGCGGGAGGTTTGGATCCAAAAATGGCGCGGCTCGCCAGCCGCTCTCCGCGTAAAGGGGTACACGCACCGCGGAATGTGAGCATCCTGGGTTCCGGCAGGACACAGCGTAAACGTGGAAACGCGGAATGTGGGACCGCGTAAAGTGAGGGTTGACTGTACTTATGTTTTTCAATTCCACAATAATTTATGTATATATAAATAAATAAAAAATAAAATAAAAACACAAACTAAACAAAAAATAATAAATAAATAAAATTAATAAATATTGAAGTGATAACCGTGGTAACATTATAAGATGTTCTTATTACCACCATGCTATTGTACTATTCCAGATGATACTAAATGTTACATAATACTTCCTTGAGATAAATGTACAGTATATATCAGGTGCCTGAAAGAGAGCTCAGGTTCTCAACTGGCTCAGCCATGTTAATATTGTTATTATTATCCACTCTTTATCTGTGTTTTTCTGGCTAAATAAACTGTTCCAATTCAATTCAATTCAAAGAAGCGGAATTTCATGATATTTTCAACCCAGTAATCAAATTTCTGATATGACAATATTTTTTGAGAAAATAGCAAAACACTGATTCTCAAATGGTAAAACTTTTTTTTTTTTTAACTTTTGGGGTTATTTTTGGCTTTATATTTTATATCGGTTTAAATTATATTGCCTCCTGTAGCCAACACTATAAGAGAGACTGGTACTGATAAAATTCATGTACTGTAAGTCTAGAAAATCATCCTCTTTCAGAGGCTTTTTTTGAGACATTGTCATTGTAATGAGGTTGTATTGCCTGATACGGTAACGCTTTTGAAAATAAACACTTCCCTGTAAATTTATAAAAAATATTTCATTACACAACCATCACTTCACTTCTCTAACACTAAAAATAAATTATTTCAGGTAGTAGGGTAAGCACTGTAATCCAGGAGTTGAGGCAGCCCGCACAGAGCTATGGAAATTTAAATGGACACAGCTTACACTCACGGCTTGACTGCTGAGATAATATTGCGCAATTGGTTTATTTGAAAGAACTTGCTTGCTAGTATGATGCATCAAAATTTGATGCAATTCTGTTGAAAACTTAATTTTTGGCTATTTTTTTTTTTTAAAGTTTGGTGACTCGATTTGCGTCACCGTGAAGTTGATCTTATTATGTATATGACACAAATCACATCATGCACGAGAGGGTTAAGCCAGATGTCTTTGTAATTTTTCAACCTAAATATACTTTTCTCGTGGAATTAGAATTTAAAGGGTTTAATTGATTAAGTACTTCCAGAAATGCAAAACACTAAAAATGCACCTCGGAACCCATAGTTGGGGAGTAATTAGCATTGAAATAATAAAATTAAAATCTTCCAAGTGTCATTGAATCGTGGACCATATATTCGGAATCAGCATGCTCAGGAGTACCTGTACTGAGATTTTCTATGAAATAAAATTTTTGGCTGAAATTGCCAAAATATTAAGCCATATATGTCTTGGTAATTTTTCGACCGAAATATACTTAGGCATTATTCTGGTGGGTTTGTCTCATTAGTAAGAAAAATGCTATAACTGTAGGAAAAATCAACGTATTCACAGACTGCTTCAATCATCATCTGTAAAATTATTATGATGGATTTGTTTCATTAATGGGAAAAAGACTTTGATTGTAAACTGAAACTATCGTAAGGTGGACATGACAATAAACTGTTTCACTGTCTGTGCTAATACAATATTAACATTACTTTTAGGTTAGGTAGGAAATAAATTTTGGTGGGTTGGCTCGCAGAAAAATACCTAAATCTTAATGCGGCCCAAGACTGAGAAAAGGTTGCCCGTGCCTGCTCTAGGCTATAGAAAGCTTATTTACTTAGCTATATACTGTATTTAGGTTAACAGAAATTGAAGTTTATAATAGAGTGGTAAAGTGCATTTTACACAGGTTCATTTTTCCCACAGGGTTCGCCAGCTTAAATTCCATGGAGAACGAGAAGAGGAATTGGATGACATTCTTCTTATGGTCTCAGCCTTTGGACTCTTTGCATATGCAGTCTTTTCCACAGTGGCTGGGTCAATGTCTGCCTACACTAAGGAACCAAATTTGCTTGTCATGGTCACAGGAATTCTTTCTGTACTTCAGGTAAATTGTGTGAAATAATTTTGTACTGTATTTTACATTGAAATTGTCTGTTTTGTCAGCCATAATTTATTTTGAGATATGTATTGGGTTGGAGCAGGTGCATATCACTCAGAAATAAAGTATGAAAATTATATACAGAATTATATAAAGGAAACTAAAACTTAGATTTTCAAGTAGTAGTCCATTAGCAGTAAAGTAATGTTTTAATTGATCATGAATTTATTATTTCCAGTAAACAATGAAGGATTGAATATTTTGTACATCCAATCTTTTCCTGCTATATGTAGGGTAGCTAGACAGGTGTATAGTACAGGTTGTACCTCTCTAGTCTGGCAACCTCGGGACCTGACCGGTGCTGGACCATGGAAATTCACCCTTTTCTTGGATATATGGATATATAGTGACTTGTGCATACACTTGGAAGCACTAGCACCACTTTCACTGCTTCGTGGTCTCTTTGAAGACATATTGAAGGGTTCTCAAATTTCGCGAGTTTTTAATTCAACGTTTTATATTTGGACCAAAAAAAACACTGCACAATTTAAAATTTTGTTGGCGGAAACTCGAATTTCGGCGGGTTTGAGCGGCTCGCCAACGTTCAGACGTGCACAATTGTGTAAACAGCATCATTTCTCTATGTATAAAACATTAATTTTTTGTTTATTACTAAATGTCTTTTTGATTGAATTAATGTTTATGTGTGCAAAATGAACAATACAATTCATTAATAATATGTAGAATATTAAAACACGAGGAGACGAGACAGCATTGTTTTCGTTGTTTACAAAACCAGTGACTGACTGGTTCTACATACCGTATATACTCGTCTATAACCCCCCCTCGTTTATAGGTCGACCCTGATTTTTTGACCAAGAAATCGTTAATTTATGATATTCCTCGTTTATAGTTCGACCCACGTTTTTGAGGGTAATGGAACAACAAAACCTTCAGTAAAAACGCTCTACGTCCTATAAACTGAGGCTCGCCATGCATGAAACACCGGTAGTTTCAACAAAAATATTGTATATTCCATTCAAGTATTTATTCAAGTCAATTAGGAGGAAATATTATTGGAATACAACAGTTTTTAACTAAACCATTCGAAAAGCGATTACGGTAACATCTTTTGAAAGAAAGAAAGCAAAAGTCATTGTTTTCGTCACGATTTTATCCCACTTTCCACTTTAATACGTACGTAATTTCAGCAAAAATATTACATTTCCGTGAATGTATTATATCAAGCACATTATGAATAGAATATCATTGTAATATAACAGAATTTTAACCGAAAACTATTAAAAAAACGAGTAACATCTCAAGAACATCGGAAGCTTAGGTAAAGTCTTTTGTTTTCGTCATGTATTTTATCCTATTTTACATTAAAATACATCACGTTTCAGCAAAACTACTATCTATTTCCGAGAATATATTCATTCAGGCGCAGTTTAGGTAAAATATACGTGTGATGTAATAGTTTTTTATCTGAAAACGATTCGAAAAACACGTACCCTCTAGCCCTGTTCAAGGAGAGGACTGGGAGAAGCTGTTTGGTGCTGCAGACGATAACAAGGAAAATGATTTTGATGGATTTTAATGAAAATATTCAGAAATATGGTATCGTAGGATTTATTCAAGTCAATTAGGATAGAATATTATTGTAATACAACAGTTTTTTAACTGAAAACCATTCGAAAAGCGATTACGGTAACATCTTTTGAACGAAAAAAAGCGAGTCATTGTTTTCGTCACGAATTTATCTCACTTTCCACTGTAATACCTACGTCATTTCAGCAAAAATATTACATTTCCGTGAATGTATTATATCAAGCACAGTATGAATAGAATACCATTGTAATATAACAATATTTTAACCAAAAACTATTAAAAAAACGAGTAACTTCTCTTGAACATCGGAAGGTTAAGTAAAGTCTTTTGTTATCGTCATGTATTTTATCCTATTTAACATTAAAATACATCATGTTTCAGCAAAACTACTATTTATTTCCGAGAATATATTCATTCAGGCACAGTTAAGGTAAAATATACATGTGATGTAACAGTTTTTTAACTGAAAACGATTCGAAAAACACGTGTACCGTCTAGCTGATACAGCTGGTGTTGCATGATGCGTCATGCGTCGTTGTAAACAATAGGAGGTTGAAGTAGATTACCGAGTATTATATTAAGTGTGAAATATCGAAAAGGTTTTTATTACCGGTATTTTTTGTAGATCAATGAGAACTGTGATACCGTATATGATTATGATATGTTAGCCTGTGCTAAGAACTTCAACATAGACTACTGAAAGCACGTTGTAAGGTAATTTAGCCTATTGTAAGTTGGTGAGCTTCATTTGCTGAAGGAACTGCACAACTTTTCATTACTAATTGGTACATATTTTACGTTTCCATTGTTTACTGGCAGTAAATGGTAAATATTTTTCATGTCTGAAGCTAAAAGTTGCTCCTCGCCCTTCCCATCATGCACGGGTTCAACCTAACAAAACTATTACGCATGTATAGGACGACCCCCAATTTTTTGCCTAAAAATTTGGTCTTAAAAGCTCGAACTATACAGTACATGAGTATATACGGTATAAAACTGAAGAAAATAAGACCTTGGTTTTAGCTGTAGTAAAATTAATATGGTTGTTTTAAGTAATGTTATTTAATGTTAATAAATGGAACAATTGAAGTAGCTAACCATTAATGGTAAAAAAGGTAAAAAAAGAGATCGCGCATGTAAGTGCTCACATGTGAATACATATAGTCATTACTCTACATAAGAATATGAAAGCAACACTTATTTACTGTTCATATATATTTTAATTAATGTTTCTGAATTTAAAAAAAAATTCTACCCACCAGTGGTGGTAAAATTGAAAATATAAAGACAGCCAATGTTATGTGTGTTTTTACTCGGATGACGAAGTTGCCAAGCCATCAGGTTCAACTCGAGCTAAAGCTGTAGAACATAAGAACTTTTCTGTGTTGTTTTTAGATTTTATTTAACTTTATCTGTGTTATTTTCGTAGGTTTATTAGGATGTTGCTTTATTACAGGTAGTAATTCACCAAAAAAGTAGGGTAAGTAAGGCCAAATTTAGCCAAACATCGAAAGTGCCAGACTCAAATTAATTTTCTCCATGGGCAAATTAAAATTGTTCCGAACCACAGAATGCCGGACAAGAGAGTTACAACCTGTACATCTCTTTAACTCTTAGCATTCATCAGCAAATGGGTTACTCAACCCTTTGTCAGGATGCTAGTCCACTGAATGTTTATTCCAGTCAACAAGTATGGCCAATAATGTACACATTTATAGTGGAATGTCTAAGGGTTATTGTACAAGGAGGGAACCAATTTACTGGAGAATCTCACAGGAAAAGTGAAGCAATGTTGCCTTGCCCTCATCTATATCTCAGGACATCTTCAGGGTTAATTTAACTGGTAAATTTGGTATCTAATCTTCCTTTTTTAAGACTAATAGTTATTACAGGAGGATGGGGCAGATCCATGGATTACCCCAGCCACCTTGCTTTAGGGTTCCTTAGGTTCCTAACCTGTATGTCCTGATTTACTTTACACAGGTTGCCTTTCCAAACTTGTTCATAAAGTAGATTTTCAGGATGAATCCACCATGTATGATTTTTTTGTGGTAAAAAAGAACTGTGTTGCTGAAGAGAAAGGTCAAATATCAGTCAAGGATGAGTAACTGTTATGGTTCTTGTTGCTGATCTATTGAAAGATCCATCTGTGAAATTATGAAATTATGATTTGTGAAGTATTTAACTATAACCTATACTTAACTTAAGAGAATTCGTACTCTACAGGTGATTATCCAGATGGTGTTCATCAAGGACACACAGCGTCGCCAGGTTTCCCTACCAGAACACGAACGAACCAAACCCGGGCGTCAGGTTGTTACGTTCCTGCTCATCTGCAACCTGACTATGTGGGTTATCTACACCTTTGAAACTCAGAAGGTGGAAGCAAATCCTGTCCAGGTATATTACTTTTTGTTTTCCCTCAAAGCTGGAGTAGCAAGAAAATTATAGGGATTAATTTTTGTAGTGCAGTACAGTGGTCCCTCGGTTAACGAGCACAATCCGTTCCAGCAGGTTGCTCGTTAACCGAAAAACTCGTTAACTGAAACCATTGTTTCAATGGGTTTTTGGGTAATTGGTTCCAGCTCACCGAAAATTGCCTAAATTCAACAAAAAAGGTAGAAAAGTACACTTACTTTGAGGTGTGTATGTAGAAGGCTCCTGGATGATGATGATGATGGGAATTAAAATTGGGGTGGAGGAGAAGGAAGAAGAGAAGGCATCAGGGTGGAAGAGAAGTCACTGATGATGCCATTTCACCCATAAAATTTTAGTTCTCTTGGTGTATTTCAAGATTATTTTCTTTAAATCAACACTGCACTGCATTATATATTGTCAATATGTAAAATATACTGTATTTCAAAATGACCAATAATTTGCTTGGAAACACAGAAAAAAGTGTTTAGTTGAAGAGAGTCTCAAGCAAGATGTTACCTCCACTGAAAACAGAGAGAGACTGACGTCTGTCTGGTGTGTTAAGAGGCTGGATGGCATGCCAGAAACTAGTTTCTTTACCTTCAATTATGTTCAATAATTGTTAAAATGACTAAAAAAGTTAATATTAAACTTTTAAAATTATTGAATAGTATAAACTTCTTGATATTTACTAAAATAGTAAGGAATTTAAGCCCTAAAACCGATTACTGTATTGGCGGACTAATACTACAGCTGGTGGACCGCCAAATGCAAGCGAAAACATGTTGAGATCGGCTCGTAAAAAACTCGTTAATCGAGGGATTGCTCGTTAACCGAAGTTAAGAATCTTATGGAAGGTAACTCGTTAACCGAAATCTCGTTAACCGAGGCGCTTGTTAACCGAGGGACCACTGTACTACAGTAAATGTTTTTATAGTAAAATAATTATTCTGGTTTTCAGTATGATGGCCACTGGTAAGCAAAGTATTTATGGGAAGGAAGTACTGTTGTAGGTTGATTATCTCCTCCCTCCCTCTTCATTGGTATGGGGGATTCGCAGAAAAATAAACTTGGAATTCTGAAAGTGGAGATGATGACTTTTTTAAATTACAGTACAGTAGAACCTCGATAAATCGGACTAATTGGGGCAGACCCCAGTCCGAAAAAAGCGAATATATGAGGCTGGGGTTGGAGATAACACTGCTTATCTGAACTGCTTAAAGAAAATCAGTTGTTGTTATTTTATTACTGCACTTCAACAACTAAGGTCTTAAGTGTATAACAAGGTTATTAAAAAAATATTACATCAATAAGAAAAAAAATATGAAACAGAACTCTCTGGGTTGAAAATCAGACATATAAGTCTGGTTGTCAATAACTGTTGTCACCAAGATGATTGTTATTTACTGTAAAGTGTTATATGTAAGTAACCACAGAATTTGTCTTATGAATAAAGAGAAAGCTGTATACTGTACAGTACTATAAAGATAAAAATGAGAACAAATAAGTGTAGGAGTATATTGTATGTGGAAGACAAGTGTATATCTGGGAGCAGAGGGGTGGGGGGTAGCATGGGTGGGTGGCAGCATGGGTGGGTGGCTCCCACTCCCTACCTCCCACAAGATTCCTTTAACACTTCTTTATGCAATTTTACCACAATTCTCATATAATTTATTATCATTTGGTGCCAGGTTGATAAAATGTTATCCTAAAAGAATCAGCTTTCCTGAAAAAAGAATCCCACACTGAAAACCATGTGTCATTGTTTTCAAAGAGCAAACAGCTGATTGGCTTACCACTATGTCTGTCTTCAACACTTATTAAATTAGTACAGTACAATTGTTTATATGTCATCACTTAACAAACACAGTTCTATTGTAGTATATTTACCATCACTTAATAAGTAATATTGTAGTGTACTGTATTATACTGTACATCTGCACATACCCTGGTTTATTCACCATTGGCTATATCCACATTTCAGTTCTAGCCTAGCCTATGTTTGGGCCCTGGAAGGGGGGGGGGTTGACTTATATGGCGAGTATAGGCCTAAACCTGAAATTTTAACTAAAAATCTTGGTCGACTTATATGCCGCAACTTGCGATAACACTTGTAAAGCACTTTTATTAACGAGTAGAGTATACAGTAGTTAGTTTTAAATTATATTAGATGCTTTTAATACTATTAATGTATCATTTTCAGGTACACACAGACTTGGTGTACTGTAATTGATTTTTTTTTATTTTATAAAGAATACTCTGCTGTTATGTTTTTTTTTACTAATTATAAAGAAAATTATTATTTTTTGTTCCAATGATGACCAATCTTCCATATTCTAGCTGGACTTCTTTGGTGACCTCCCTTGGACAATTTTGCTGCGATGCACCTTGCCACTGGCCATCTTCCATCGCTTCCATTCCACAGTGGTCTTGGCTGCCATCTGGAAGAATTCATACAAGACCCGTATTGAATGAGGTTTACCAGGTAGGCCGCCGCCCACCACGACGGTCCACAGCATCAGTAGTTGCTTTATCCATACCAACGGAGTGGCTCGAGGGGTCCCTGACAACCCACCCCCGGAAATGGAACCTATGCTTCACACACCTACTAGTCCCCCACCAGCCCTGGATCAACGCTCTGAACACAAAGTTTCACTCTTCAGTATCATATAAACAGTATGGTTTCTGTTTGAATGGTCCAGCAAGATGCTATTGAGAGTATTTACTCTAAATATGTTAGTGAAATATTCATCAAAACAGGGTTTGCATATACAGCATATTCCACATCAAAATGTGCCATTTTAAATGGAAAATCACAAAAGTACAAGCAGCAATGATGCTATGGACAGTGTTATTTCTTAATATTGTATTAGATGTTTCTCATGAGCAGTTTCCTGCATTTCAATGAAGGAAATTTAAATGTTTTTCATGTGAGGATTGCTATATTGGATTTCCAGTACTACGTTTTTCAAATCAGTATTTCCGGTGTAACTGCGTGTGAAGGCTATCAGACTCTGTGTTGTAAGTTATGCCTCAATGCTGTAAATACTGTAGATGCTTTCCCTGAGCTTTAAGTCTGGCAACTGCTTTTTGTTATCTGCAGTAATAGTGTACTTTAGGCTAAGTCGCATGGAGAACTCACCTACCCTTTGCTCGTGGGTCCTGATCAGGCTTTTTTTTTTCCACTATTGCAAATTATATGCTGTTCAAATTAATCCTGTGCATGAAAATACATTTTACTTGCTTTTAGAGTAAAACTGCAATGAATTTGTTCAGAACAGGCAAAAAAAATCAGCTGGTCGAGATCCACCAAATAAATGTGTTCAGAATGAGTCTCCGGCAGCTACAAAAAGTCACAAGGTGTTTTTTTTTCTCCCACTTCCAAGATTTGTATATATATAAGGCTCACTCCATGATGTGTTTTATCCAGCAGCACTTCCTGATTATGTTTACCGTTAGACTTAGGACTCCTGTTGCTGTAGGAATGTGTTGTTTGTATAACACAGTGGCTGCTTTTTGTACATACCATATGTCTGTCTTGCTGTGTTTGGCCCATCTCAGTATTTCTCCATAGTACATGATTGTATTTGTGCAAGGTGGAAAGTATTTCATTTATGTCCATTTTATAATGTGAGTGGAGATTGTGTAGTGTGATACATTTCACACAATAACTGATGAGACTTGGCCCAAGTACCTACCACATGACTTCTCATGAAGCACAAAGTACTGGACCAAAGTTCATCAGATATATCTTATCCAGAACAATTTGTATGAAGTGTGTGTTCATTGTACCTGTCCCATATTCGGCATGAGCTACTGAGAATACCCAAATGATTTTTTCTGAAAGTTATGTTTATTCCAAATTTATCCAAGGTTATGAAGACAATAATGCATGCAAGCCTTATTTTCTAGAGATTAATTCTTCAAAGGATAGAATATATTTTTTGGCTCCTTTTGTTTCTCTGTAGCTAGTAGCTTAAATGAATCTCTTGGTGAGTAAGTGAGTATTGACCATATAAGATAAAACTTGTGTACAATTGTGCATCTCACATTTTGGGGTTTGGAAACACGACAATAAGTAGGATGACCTTTAGCAAAGTTTTACATGGATTTTGCATTTTTTGAATATGCGTAATTTTGTATTCACGAGCAAGTCACAAACCGGACTGTTCTCGTTTTGCAAGACTTGTAGCCATGACTAGTAGCTCTTTTGTGCGTGGCAAGCCTCTGTGAACTTCATCTGGAGCAAGTCTTCATGCCGTGTTATACAAGAAGTGTGGCCTGGGGATCACTACTGTGTGTCCACTTCATCAGCAGTATTGGTTTTGCTTTACTATCAGCAAATTTACACTGCCATATTTTATCCTTTCTGCATCAGATTCCCTGGATGTGATAAGTCACCTAAGAGGACCATTTTTTCCACCAGGTTTAACAGATGCTCAGAATTCTCATGAAGTATTTGATGAATTGTCTTGACACACAGTAGACAGGCCACTTACTATGTTTACTGCATTAAATATAAATGTTCGTACCATAAATTGGTGTTTTAATTACCCCCTATATAATTTACTGTATATATAGATCTAATAATAAACAAAGTGTAAACAAGTTTCTAAAGAACAATTTAAACACATGTATAGTATAGTCTGGATTTACGCGGATTTCCTTTACACGTTTGGTCATTTACGCGGCACATGACCAGACGCGCCAATTGTCAGTTACGCGGTAAATTCCATCATTTATGCGGCAAGCGGCGCGAGAGGCCCAGATGCACCAATTATTAGTTACGCTGTACATTCTTGACCATACGCAGGAAGCGGCGCAGGGAGGGTGCGCAGTATGTTACTCTTACGATATCGCTGACGTCATATGATGTATCGGACTGTGATTGGGCCACGCATCCTTACCTCCTTCCACCGCTAGCTGTCATTGGTCTAATGTAATATGACGTGGCCTACTACCAGAGGGAATAAGTCGCTGACATAAGCTGCGCAATCTCATTGTTCTCAGTCTCCACGTATACTGTTCTCTCTTGTGCCTGCTAATCTGTTCAACAATGGCGCCTGCTGGACCCCCACCACCCCCGAGAAACCTTGAATTGCCTGGACCAAGCCGCCCCAAGCCCAAGAAGATACGACGCGCTTTAAGCTATGAAGTAAAATACAAAATCGTGCAGGAGTTGGAGAAAGGAGCAAGACAAGTTGGTTTGGCGCACCATCATGGCGTGAACGAATCTACGATCCGGACGATCAAGAAAGATGCCGCCAAGATAAAAGAACACATGAGCATCACTAACTCTGCAGGTGCGTCAATGGTAAAATATTGTCAGAATAAAGTGCTGCTCAAGACTGAGGATTTATTGGTGAGCTACTTGATTCGTCAGGCGAGAAGGAACGTGGCGGTGGACACTCGCGCGGTACAGGACTACACCCGAGAACTTTACATAGCAGTGGTGCGGAAAATGGAAATTGCAGAGCCCAAACACTTCACTGCTTCCGCTGGGTGGCTGCAAGGGTTTAAAAAAATGCAAGAAAATAACTGACATCGAAATGGTTGGTGAAGGAGCTAGTGCTGACCATGCTGCTGCCATGAATTTTCCACCATTCTTACGAGAAATTATAGAGGAAGGACAGTACACCGACGACCAGGTGTTCAACATGGATGAATCCGGGCTCTTTTGGAAGAAATTACCATCCAAGACCTTCATAATCAAATCTGCCAGCAAGTGTCGGGGCCAGAAGTTGCAGGAGTGCATCACTGTCCTGTTCACCACCAATGCCTCTGGCACCTGTAAGCTCAAGTTGTCGGTGATTTACACAGCCTGCAAGCCGCACGCCTATAAGAACATGGACATGAGTAAGATTAATGTCCACTGGCTAACCTCCAGGAAAGTGTGGATGTTCACTGGTCTGTCCCTCTCCTGGTTTGACAACTGT